AGCTTGTCAACATGTCAGCAGACGAACTACAAGACTGGCTCGGCAGCGAGGAGTCCGTGGGAGCCGGCTGGTAAGCTCTACCTTCAATGCAACGCTGACATTGCGAATCTCATGGCATACATTCTCTAAGATGCCTATAGGTCCAAGGATGACGGCTCCGGCGAAACCATCGGTCACGACTCAGGCCGCAAAATCGTCGCCATCTTACAAAAGAATCCAAAGAAAGAGGCCAGTAAATACGAGCAAGAAGACATTGATCATATGCGCAAGGTGGTGGCATATTGCAAGAGGCATCTTGCGCAAGAGGAGAAGGCGAAGAAAGACACAAACAGTAAGAGTTATAAGAGTTTGAAGAATTGGGGTCACGATGCGCAGAAGGCTTGAGCGTATATATCGACGAAGATAGTGTTCAATTGAGGGTTGAAAACTAGAGGAGACAGAAAGAATGGCACAAAGGCAATACTGAGGCCATATAGCATGCTCGTTAGAATAATTGCAAGAGTGCATTTCACAGGATAGCATCACCGAGAGTGTAAAGCACTGAGTTCAAGCCATCCAGATCAAAAGCGGGGTATATTGAAGGCAATCTAGGAAGAAGCTGCGCATAGAACTAGTGTCTTGGTCTATTTGACAGTCGACCTCTTGCGTCCAGCAAAGCGATTTCCCTGTAAAACGTTAGTACGTAGCCTGGATGATAGGATTAGTGGAGACATACTTGCTTGCCACCTAAAGCCGCTTGCGCCTCCATCTCCTCCGTCTTCGTCCTCTCGGGTGGGTTTCTGCGCATGAAGCACTCGCCTACAGGATGACCTTCATCGCAAGCAACGACCCACTGGCCCATACCCATGTCCTTGGGTGCGCGTCTGACACCTCTTCCACCGCCGCCTACTATCAAATTGCCAGGACGGTATGTTGGATCTGCGCGCATACGCTTAATTACGCTGCTGTGAATGATCGCGTTGGCGGGTATATCACGGGTCTCGCCCTTAGGCAAAGGCCACCTGATCGCTTTCCACGTCCCGTCTTCTTGTAAATCCATACGTCTAAAGGGTAGATATTCCATTATATTCCACGAAACGACGCCCATTCGATTGGCGCCGTTGTTGAACTGTAGAACGTCATGAATGCGGCCTCTGGTTGCGGCGCTGTGGAGATGGTTATGGAAGTGCGTGTTAGGGTGTTCGCGGTGGTGGTGAAGAATATTGTCATCGTCGGTGTAGCCAGCTGTGTCGACGGATGGCGCGTCCGAGTTTAGGCGGGGGATGACAGGCGAGGGTGATGCAGGATCGATTGAAATCATCGGTATGTTGTTCCGTGCTTGCGTAACAGCGGTGGTGGGCTCCTCGTGGCAGCAGCTCAGAGCCTCTAGTTTGTCTTCGTCGAATTCGAGACCAGCTTTTTGAGCTTCGCGCACCATCCATACGAGTGCTACATGACTCAAAGCTGCATCATCGTCGCCGAGGGGCCAGCCTCCACCGATATCCTACGCATTGTCAGTGTTAATGGTCTGCTTGAAGGCTAAGCATACTTACCGCATGGCATCCGGGAAACCAAACTTCCTGGATGTCTTGTTCCGCATCTTCGTCTTGGGTGTTAAAAGTTCCCGCGGCGTCAAACGATCGCATCGAAGGAGTAGCGGAGCCGTGAGCACCATCGAGCTGTGAGCGGTCCGCGCTCCGGCTGCGCACGCCTGACGTCTCATGTGGATCCCTGAATCGTTCAGGCGGTGCCAATGTATCCCGCCGACCTCTATCCTCCTGTTCCTCATGGTCCTTCTCGTCGAAATCATGATCCTCATGACCACTGTGCATCAGATCCTTCATGTGCTGCCGATATCTGTGGTGGCGGTGCTTGTATAACATCGATCTGTCTGGCTTCTCCTGGGAGATGAGATCTTGTCTGAATTTTGCGCGTCGTTCGTCAATTGAAACCGCATGTCGTATAACGTTCGCGCTGCTCCTTGCGGTGTAGGGAAACCTGCTGCGTTGCATCCATGCGTTCTCGAAGGCAGGTACGCTATTGACTGTATCAAAAAGACCAAGGAAGCGTATGGGTTTGACTGGGCGGCTGAAAGTCTCCCTGAATGCGCACATGAATTCCAAGAGTTTTGACTTCTCCGACTTCTCGCCAGGTTTGCGCCCATTGCTCCCTTTCTCCTCCGGCAATCGACATTGCCACTTCTGGAATGTCCTAAAAACTAGGTTAGTGGAATTTTCATGCCGAATATATGCTATACTCACTTCCATGCGAATTGGCACATCTCTTCATTTCCAGCCTATCAAGTATTAGACATTTCCTTGTAGTTAGTGGTCAATCGCTTACAGAGAGGAGGCCGACGTGATCAAGCATCTCCGCAAGGAAACGAGCGGTGTATGCACCACGCGAAAATCCGAAGAAGAAGATGTCGTCACCAGGTGTATAGTATCGCATCAGGAACTGTCCAAATCGTGTCAGTCTAATGCGCCATAGTTCTTCCCTCTAGCAATCAGCCGGATGGAGCCGCTTCTTCTCTTAAGGAGGTTAAGGACCTACTTTATATCCTGCCATAACGTGCTGATCAAATGATGTCCCTATACCATGTCAGTTCTCATACACGACAGCCAAGGCCGGTCAAACATACCTATTGCACTGTCCTTCGCCTTCGCATACCATGACTGGAACTTCTCCCATCGACCTGTTCGAGTCATGGATCCATTGGCTTTCGTGACATAGGTGCCGATTCCAGGCTGGTAATAATGAAACTGATCATCCCCATTGCGGTCGAGCATGCGATAAATCTTAAGGATGTTGCTATCTGAATCTGTGCCCGAGAATTTGTTACCCGTACCGTCAAAGCACAAGACAAATTTCTTAGTCACATGATTCGGACGTCGCGACACGGCTCCGTAATCCATAGGGTTGTTGTTAGGTGTTTGTGTAGATACCTGAGGTGAAACGCTCGATAGGTGTGACTGCTCTGGGTTTTTGCGCGCCATGTTGACAACGTAGAACTCAAGCAGAAAGGTGCTTCAAAATGAACGCAGCTCGATAGTCAGACTGAAGCAGTCGCGAAGCGTAAAGTAGCCAAGTAATTTCCATCAACGCGGAGATCGGATGCAGAACCCTTACGCGACTGACGCATGCTCCCCCTCCGGCCTGTCCCCAAAGCTTCCGAACGTATCAGGTCACATTAAGATACTGATCGCCGTTGCTAATGCAACTTGCAAAGACTCTCGCCTATCGACATGTCGACGTCGCATGTGGTGGGTTTTGAGTAGTCCCGCCGCTAATCAGAAGCCGCTGATCGTTCTGAAGTGCCGCCGCCCTACAAAGACTATTAATCTTGAAAGGGCTGATCCGAACTAGCTACCAGGCACTGTCCCACACCCCCACCTACTGTATCAATGTTAATGGTGCGGAAGCAACACAGGTGTCGCAGCGTTGCCTGACAGGAGGCACGACAGATACACCGCGTGCCGCCCCCTTCTTGCCGTAGTTGATCGTGAAAAGAAACCAAAATGACCCCTTCACCGAAATTGAGCCAATACCACCTTTCGGCCACCATCCTGGCTGGTGAAGCGGCGGTAACCGATACACGCAATGATACGCGATCCAGCAGACAAGCTACGAAAGCTAATGCTGAGTGCGGTGCTCGTAATCACAGTAGTGTCATTTCCTATTGGACTCATGGGCGTTTGAACTCAGCACAACTGTGCCGATCAGAGAGTAGTTGCTGGTGTAGGTCTGCTCGCCGACCTTCGAACAGGAAAAGCACGTCGCGTCGTTTAGAGGTGGTTGGCGCTACCCTATGAGCGATCACTTGTGGGGCACTGGTCCATGCACGGGCCGTCTCGATTCCCGTCGTTGCGACTATCGATCCCACCTCCCACTCATCACAACCACCGCCGGCGTCTTGGACGAACCGGACAGTAAACCTTACGGCTTCGGGACAGGCCGTAGGCCACAGCCCGCAGAATCTAGTACCTAGCTCGATAACGCACTCTACTCGGAGATTTGCAAGCTCACACCTTAGTTGTTGACCGCCACCACATCAGCTGAAACTCCCTTTCGTTTGTTCGCTCGCTAGTGGATGATGCGCATCCATTCGCCGGGAAGCAGGGTCGATCGATTCCAAGCTCGCAAGCGCTAGAGGTTTCTTCTACTACTCAGCCGAAGACTGCTGAATCGGGATATTGATCGCTTGATAGTTAGTCCATAGCTTTTGTCTACGTCTCTGTTTGGAATGGTCGCGAGATCAGGTCGCCGTTTCTGTCTACCACGTCGTCGGCTGCAGTATGCACAATTCTATGCATAGTCTGGCATCAAGAGACCGCCGAAGTGATACCACAACGGGTCCCCAGGCAGTCACGGGATGCTGAAGCGTGAAACGTGGTAAGCGTACCCTTGGGTCAGCCACATATTGCTTTTGGACAGACACTCCACGATGTTACAAAAACCACTCACGGATCATCGCAAGTGGGACACTTTAGTCCCATCCTCTTTGGACCACCCCGATGGAGCCAATGGTGCTGCTGCGTTGTGGGTCTCACCGACGCTGCTCGCAGATCAGCATTTGAACTTGGCATGCAGTACTCACCACCCCTCTGTCAGTTCCCAGTGAAGGTAGCGCCATATCCGTCTAGTGCTACCCTCCACAAAATGGTTCAGAACCAATCAACACTCACATAATCCTAGCCATCAGAGCTTTGACGATATCAAGATCCGGACGCTATCCACACCGTCCCGGTGCATGCATGGGTTCATCCGCCCTCAGTGGAAGCCGCAGGACACTGTTCGCCGTGTGCATATGATGATCAACATACTGTAGCTGCTAGCGATCGTCGTCATGCGACTGGCTCGCCGCTGCTTGCATTGGCTAAGCTCTTGCGTGGGGAGCATTGTGCCTTCCAAGATTAACAGCGAGCTACATCGAACTTACTTTCTAAACTTCCTCTAGTCCTGGGATTCATATTCTGCCCTTTCCCACCCTTTTCACATGGTTATACGCAAAATCATTCATCATGCCTAGTCAAATACAAACATTGATCGGAAAGATCAGGAGGAAGCCCACATTAGCAAGCGATGGCAGGACGGCAGAAGCATCGAGTGGGATGAAGAACCACCAGAAGACTGGCATCGTCAGCGACATTAGAGGTCTCGGTGTTAAGGATGCCAAATTCGCTCTCGACGCTATTACGACCCTGGCGTCCGGCGAGCCTTTGGACGACAAGGATCTTCTCCTCGAGAAGGGAGTCCAGATGCTACAGGGACTGCCTTTGAACAGTGGTCTCAGTGCAAAGGTCTCAGACGGTTTTATTAGCATGCTCTGGAATGACTTGCCACACCCAACGCCTACACATGCCGGCCCTTCAGCAAGATACCGGAAGCACGACGGCTCAGGAAACAATCCTCACAACCCTGAAATGGGCAAAGCGGGATCGCCATATGCGCGCAACGTGCCTCCCACCAAACCGAAAGGTAACCAATCTCTTAATGCAATACACTTGGGAACGAAGACTAACATTCCCATGCAGGACCAAACCTGCCCGACGTCGAAGACGTATACGAGGCACTTTTAAAGCGCAATGGGCCTTTCCGCGAGCATCCATCTGGACTTAATCGCCTGTTCTTTTCTTTTGCAACTATAGTCATTCACGAATGTTTCCAAACCTCTAGGACGAACCCTTGGATCAACGAGACGTCGAGCTATGTTGACCTCAGCACCCTGTATGGCAACACAGAGAAAGAGCAGCCGCGCGTACGAACATACAAGAATGGCCTAATATACCCAGACTCAATCGCTTCAGAGCGCATTATGATGATGCCTCCAGGTGTAGTCGCAGTACTTTTGATGTTCTCAAGAAACCACAATCATGTCGCTGAGTCATTACTGTCAGTGAATGAGGACGGCAAATACAAGTCCTGGGACAGCCTTGATGAGGCAGGCAGGAAATGGTAAGCTCGGCATGACTACCGTATCGTAGAATGAGTCTGACACGGTCTATAGGCAAGACGAGGACATCTTCCAGATTACGCGCAACATTAACGTTGGATTCTTCGCTTCGGTCGTGTTGAAGGACTACGTTGCTGCTATTCTGAACACACCACGAGCCAATTCAGAGTGGTCTCTCGATCTTGGTAAAGAAATTAAGCAAGGCGGTACACGTGTCGAGCGCGGGACCGGCAGCCATGTATCCGTCGAGTTCGCTGTTCTCTACCACTGGCACGCTGCTCTCAGCGCTGCGGACGAGAACTGGATGGAGGACATCATCCGTTCCGTATTCCCCGATATTCGTCACATCGACGATGTAACAATCGAGATGTTCCACAAGGTCATGAAGGTCTACGGTCATGACTTGATGAGCAAGAAGCCTTGGGAGTGGACTTTCGGAGGCCTTGAGAGAGGAGCTGACGGCAAGTTCAACGACGCTCAGCTTTCCGAGTTAATCAAAGACTGTATCGAAGAGCCTGCTCACGCTTTTGGCGCCCACGGTACACCGGCCAGCCTCAAGGTTGTTGATCTTATGGGCCAGCTGCAAGCCCGTGAGATGTTCAATGTCTGCACACTCAATGAGTTCCGTCGGTACCTTAATCTGAAGCCGTACGATACATTTGAAGATTGGTGCTCTGACAAGGAGACGGCACGAGCCGCTGAGCTCTTGTATGGCCACATGGAAAACATGGAACTTTACCCAGGGTTGATGGCCGAGTGCACGAAGCCTGCCATGCCAGGTAGTGGTGTCTGTCCTGGTCAAACCACTGGTCGAGGTATCTTGGATGATGCCGTCGCATTGGTTCGCGGTGACCGTTTCTTGAGCTACGACTTTAATAGTAATACTCTTACGCAATGGGGTGCGGCTTTGCTGGCAGAGACGACACCAGGAGCATACGGCGGCGTGTTTCCCAAGCTGCTCTTCCAGGGGCTCCCAGGTGGATTCAGAGGAACGTCCAGCTACGCGCTATTACCCTTCTACACGCCTAAAGCGGCGAAAGAGATTCTTACAGGCAATAAGATGGTTGAACAATACGACCTCAGCCGCCCTCCGAGCGACTACGATATCATCAGCGTCCAGACGCAAGAAGGTTGCAAGAAGGTGTTTGAGGATCGTGAGAATTTCGTTGTCATGTACCAGGCAGCTATTCGCAACTGTACTGCTGGGCATGACTTCATGATCGGATGGGACCAACAGAAGAAGCATGACGAGAGGTCCAATATCTTGCACAAAGTTTTCTTCGAAGAGGGCTTTGAGAAGAACATCAACGAGTTCTTCACAACCAACGTACGGAAGCTCATTAAGCAGAATTCGCTCAAAGGCGCCAAAGGCAGAATGAGCATCGACATTGTTCGCGACGTTACGAACATCACGCCAATTCTTTGGCTGGCCGAGCGTTTTGCACTCCCACTGAAGACACAGGAGCAACCTAGAGGTTTGCTCTCTATTCACGAAGCGTTCCTAGCGTACCTCGTTCTATGTAAGTCACACAACTAGCCCATTTCCGACTACGAACAGCCTGCTGATTCACTCCCAGTCATGTACCAATCCTTCAACATAATGCCACACAATGAGTGGAAACTACGAGCGGGCGCCATGCAAGCTGCAGCACCCCTCCGCTCCATCTTCGAAGCCCATCTCAAGTCACAGACGGGACGTCTAGAAGGCCTGGTAGACTGGATGGCCAAGGGCTCCGCCTTCGAAGTAGGTCCACACGCAGACCGCATCTACCATGCGCTTGCCGACACTAAGCTGCCCATTGGCGACATGGTGGGCGACTGCATCGGCATGGGCGCGCCCGTCGCTGGAAACCTAACCCAGCAAGCCAGTCTACTAATCGACTTGTTCCTCTCTCCTGGGTACGAAAAGTACAAGGCTCGAATTGTCGAGCTATCGCACATGGACCCCGCGACCTCGGACCGCGAACTCCAGGGTTTCGTCTACGAAGGAATGCGCCACGTCGGTGTAGTTCCCGGACTCCCTCGCGTTGCAACCCGCGACATCACCATCAACGACGGCATCCGTGGCCCCGTCTCCATCAAGAAGGGCCACACGATCCTCATTGCCACATCAAAAGCCGCCATGGACCCCGTTGCGTTCCCCAACCCCGAGATCCTGGATCCGCACCGTTCATTCAAGGAGTACACTTTACTCGGTCACGGCCTGCACTTTTGCTTCGGTGCCCGCCTCGTCGGCCCCTCTCTCGCCTCCACTCTACGCGAAGTCTTCAAGCTACCAAACGTACGTCGTGCGCCTGGTAAACAAGGTCGTTTCACTATTACTGAGCATAAACTCGCGGGTATCACGATGCGGCATTATCTCGATTCTAGTTCAAAGGAGAGTCCTATTCCCACGAGTTTGCGCCTTCACTACGATAGTGAGGATGTTGTTGCGACCGGGTTGAATGGTCATCTTACTAATGGTCACACGGATGGGCTAGCTAACGGACATACAAACTATGCTTCGAATGGTCATGCCAACGCAAATGGCAACAATGAGCATGGGAATGCGTATACTATTGCGCCTTAGGAAGGCCCAGGTCCACGTCTAGGCCGTCCTTCGGTCTCCTCGTGGTCACTATCGTCGAGTTTGAGTCATTTACGGAAGCACTCTAAGATTTTTTGTTGCAGGAGTGCAAGGGAGTAGATTGGGAGGTGGGTGAAGCAAGTGTGGATAATGGGTGTTCAATCGTTAGATTGTTCGTTGTTGTTCAAAATGATGATACCATTGAACGTTTAATTTAGCTCTAGTTTAGCTTTAGTTTTGGCGTAGTAAAATTGAACTTGTGCACGTCATTTCAGCTAAAGTAGTGAGGCTTCAGTCTTGAGTGAGAAATACTACAATGTAGGGAATGCGAGTGGGAACTACGTCAAGCATCCTAGCGAGGACACATGTCCTTCCCAGCGATACGTAAATCTCGCCTCAGCCAGATTGGGTCTTCTTGAAAACAGCGTGTCAACACTATAATCTACCGATCAGCCAAGATATCGTCAGATGTCACAAATATTGGTTTTACCAATTCAACGCTCTCCGTGCGAATTAGTTAGTATATGATACTATCAAGTCACCAATCGAACTACAAGATGGTATGTATAATCCGTCAATTTTTCCCCATGAAAAGGCCTCAGGTAGAATGCTATAATCAACGAAACATCAAAACATCTACGTCCCTGTTGAAAACTAAAGGCGACGTCCGACGCAAAACGCCATGCTTCCCAACATATCAATACACGAGAAAATACCAACTTATACAAACGACAGAATAGAAAGCTTGTTTTCCTCCTTCCCCCCTCCCCACCACACAACAGCTCTCCACAGCAACATGCACCAACTACGCCATCCTAGGTAACGGCGGAAGGGTACTAGAATCCCACCTCCTCTCACCCTCCATATCAACATCCTCGTCGCTGTCCTCTTCACTCGCATCTTCCAACGCCTCCCTCCTCTCCATCTCATCCACATCCATCAAATCACCATCGTCATCCTCGTCATCTTCATCCTCACTACCCATGACAGGTCTCCCCTCATTCACATCCGGTAACCCACTACTCCTCTCCCCCTTGGGTCTCCCTCTAGACGCACTCTTACCACCCTCCCAGCGATCCAGACGACGCAAAGCTCTGCTAAGCATCTTAGCGCGATAGTAGGATTCCTCGCCGTGGTCGTTGACTTCGCCGCCGAAATCCAAGGGAACGAGGCCAGAGGGCATGGGTGGCGGTGTTTTGGTGCCGAGTTCATAGTCGGGGAGTTGAGCGAATTGTGCGTGCGATTCTTCATCTGTATCATAGCCGTCTGCCATACCTTTGCAGCGGATCCAGCTGCGCATGAAGGGGTTGGCTTTGCGGCGGCGTTTAGCGGCGGCGGCGTACTCGATGCGGATTCCGCGGTCGAGGATGACATCTACGCGTCGCCGACGGTATTGCTCGACGGCGAGTTGGTGTTGTGTGAGGGGACGTGTGCGTTTGTGAGAGGGATCAGACCCGTTGAGTGGGAGGTAGAAGCCGTGTGGACCGTTGAAGGTGGGCGCGGATGTAGAGGGAGATTGGCCGTCTTGCGAGGTTGGACCGTCGAGTTTGGTCTTGAAGCTACGTGCTGCTGGTGTTCCCCCGGCACCTATCCCTGATGTGCGATTGCGCGACCAGTTCCCGCGGCCGGGCCCCTTGGGTGCGGGAGAAGAGGCGGGTCCATCTTCGTTGAGGAGGGTGTTGATGCGCATGTTAGGCGTGGCCACCTTCTTGGCTGTGTTATAGACGCTGTTCGGAGGGGATGCTGACCGGGTACGGTCGGTGTCTGAGGGGTAATCTCGTTCGATGATCGATTTGGCAAGCTTGCCACGTCCTCTCGCGGAGCCTGCTGTTGTTAGATCGGTACTATCTTGGAGATCAAGTATAGAGGCTTACCATGGGATGGCGATTGTCTGTCACGGCCAGGTGTCGAAGCACCATCATCGGCGGCTATTGAGAAGACCGGGTTTTGGTTGAAACCTAGGGAAATGTTAGGAATGGTCGGAGCTGAGTCTTGTCGCAACTTCGGTACTCATGAAAAACAGTACTCACCCTTTTGTTCGTCCGCTTTGGGCCTGTGACAACTGGCGCCATGTCGCTTGCCAATATAGCTGTTCTCTCCTTGCGCTTGATCTCACCAAATGCCTTCTCCTCGGTCGAATCGACGTTCTCCAGCGCCTCCTGCTCAGGCGAAAGTATTTCAAAGGGCGGACACTTGATTGGGAACTCTGCCGTAGTCGGGTCATCAGGCGGTCCCATCTGTCCAGGGCCAAAAGGATTGTTCTCGGCAGCTTCTTTGGTGAAGTCGCTCTCAAGATACCACCACATGAGCCATAGGAAGGCTGTGGCTCTGCTCTTACTGCTCAGGTTGGAGCGCATGACGAGGTCGAAGAAGTCGCGAGGCGGGAAGAAGTGTAGTTCTGAGATCTTGGGTGCGTATTGTGACAGAACGAAGATGAGGTTGACCGGGTTCGTGCGCGGTATGGAAGCTGCCATTATTTCCTCGATGGTGCTGGGCTGCTCATGGTCTTCAGTCGCTCCCTTTAGGATAGACTTCAACCGCGGCGCATCCTGAAGCTGCTTGTAGGCATTGGGATCTTGGTGGGCTTGGAGCGAGGGGATGGAGTGGTAGGTTCGTAGCTGGGCGCGCATCTCTGGGAAGACTGTTGTTTGTTAGGGAAGGTCTGCAAGTGGGTATATGTGGCCTACAATTCAGGGTAGTGTTCATGCGCCCGACGTTGACCAGCAGACACACCATGGCCATGTTGATGGCAGCCGGGCGCTCAGTCAGCAGCTTGTCCTTCAGGATCTTGCTGCACTTGCTGCTCTTGGCCATGGCATCGAGGTAGATGTCGGCAAACGTGTGGCCGCTGGTGCTGTCGGATTGCTTGGTGAAGACGCGCTTGTCGTCCTCGAAGACGAGCTTGAGGAAGTCGAACTGGATGTCCTTGCGCCACAGCGGGATGCCATCGTCCTTCTTCAAATGCTTGATCTTATTCCCACTGTAGACGGACGACACGCTCCCGTTGGCATTGCGGCGGGTCGTCGTGGTTGTTGCCGTGTAGTATGGTCGCGCAGGGTCGTTGTCGTTGGCTGGCCGCGAGGCATCTGGCGCATCGCCGCCAGCTTCGCTCTCATCGGGGACAGGCGTGTTTGCTTGCGATGCGTCGGGCTTGGAGTCGTCCATTTGGGGGTCTGCGGCCAGGATGTGTCGCAAGCTGTTTCTCGAGTCGGGCTCGTCGGCGCGCGGAGGCAGAGGTGCGGTTGTCGCAGCAGGCCTGTCGTCCATGACGAAGACGCGGTTCGGGGATTAGCTTTGGGTGCTCTGTGTACGGTTCCACTAGTCCTGTGCTGGTTGCGCTGTGGGATGGGATTGGCCCTGTGTCGCCTGAGCTTGCGACCTGGCTTGCTATCCCTGTGGCGCGACTTTGGGATCTGAGATGGTGTGTCTCAAGCCTTGCGCGTCTCGAACAAGCAAGAAAGCGTGTCGCAACCTCAACTACTGCGAGAATAGCTAGTCAGCCGTCAATCGCGAAGGAGGAAGATGCATCAGTGCGGGAAGCGCATCCAAGCCCAAGCTTAGACGCTAAGACCCCGAACCAACGGATGCCACTCAACGCGATTCCATCACGAATCCCCTCGGCGATAGCCAAACCTTCCGCCGATGAGGTTCTAGACACATCGCGCTATATCTCGCAGAGAAACTCATTTTCCTTCTTCCATTATCACTGTAATCAATTTCATCTCAAGGTAACGAACAAGATGACTTTGAATATTTATGTAAAATTCTTTTCATTTCCCATCTGTAGTGGTCGGCTCTGTTTGCATAACCTCTACCCATGAAGCACGCCAAAGATATAACATAAAGTAACCAGGATATCTCAGCGAAGGTAGAAAACTAAAAACACACAAAATGCGCCACGCTAAAGCCAAGGCCAAGCTGTCGCAGAAATAATGGGAAGGGATGGGGTATGCAAATGAGAAAAGCATGCACAACTCCTCGCGAGTCGATTTTGCTTCCTCGCCCATGCAAAAAACGCCTGGTATCGCTGGATATACATACAAGAGCCGAAAAAAGGAAGAAGAGCCAAAGTCCGAAGTAGCCAAGGATCCAGTCCGTGGTCCTGAATTAAGAATCCAAAAATTAAACACAAATCTTGGTATACATCCTCATGTATCATTGTTGTCGCCAATTCGACCCGACGGCTTGCGCTCAGTCGAATGCCGTTTCTTCTCGTACCATTAGGGGGTTGGTGTTGTTTTGAGAGTACATTCGTGGATCGTATCGTCCGTCTCCCCGTTGAGGGTTGGGTCCACCTGGGCCTTTGCGTTGGCCCCCCATGCCCATGTTCATCAGAAGCATGCCGCTTTCTCGTTTTCGCTGCCGCTGTTCTCGAGCTCCGCCGGATTGTACGGCTCCGTTCAAGCTACCGTACCCCTCCCCAGAGTTGTATGGTTGATCGTAGGCTGGAGTATCGTAGCTGGGTCGCATTGGAATGAAGCCTGAATCATAGCCACTGTATTGACCTTGTTGTTGCTGCTGCTGCTGCTGCTGCTGCTGCTGCTGTTGTTGTTGTTGTTGCTGATATTGCTGTGGAGGTTGTGGGGGTGGATAGTTGGGAGCACTGTTTCCTTGATAACTTTGGGGCGGTCGATCCATACGCTGCTGGAAGGTGGTCTCGTTGTACGCAGGCGTTGGGAGATCGGAGAACATCTGCCTCCGTGGAGATCGAATGGCGTCGTCGCCTAGGTGAGAAGTGTTGTTCCGGATCTCATGGATTGGGGAACTTGCTTCATCGAGAGCAGTACCAAAGATGTCGGTGTAGTCAGTCAAGAAGAAAGATATCAATGGAGCTGGAATGTTCAGAGTAGGTGCAAACACTATGCCGACATTTCGCACGGTCATCTTGTTCACCCCGGAGTTGTCCACAATCTCAATTAGGAACGACGCCAGGTGTCGCAACAACTCGAAGTTGGGCCTGGGAAGCTTGTGCACGAGAACGTTGAAGCTCTGGATCTTCTTACTACGTTCGTCCATGTCTAAAACGTGTCAGTACATGGCCCGATTGATCAAGTTCATCCAGAAGAAACACTTACCGAGAACTTTGAGGAAGTCGAGATGCAGTTCCCGAGTTAGAACAGAAGCTGGTAGTTCTCGCAGGTACAGCTTGAGGAGCGATGCCACAGCGTGAACATCATAGTATTGCCCGTCCAGAAGCTTGATATCTCCTTCGTTGTTAAACCGATCACGCAGGCCCTTGATGACAATGTTCGACCCACTAAGCCTGAAGATACCTTCTTCGCTAATCGCCTTCTTTGCTCGAAGGTACTCCAAGCACCTGTAGACGACAGCCGGTAGCGCCACATTGACACCGTCAGGCTGTGTGAATTCCACGGCTTCCATAAGCGGAATGCCGAAGACGCTGCGGCCTGGAGGTAGGCGATGTTCCATGGTTGGCTGCAGAGGGGTACTGACTTGTACCGGTGCAAGATCGGAGGAACCGCCACGACCTCTGAAGCCGAATATGCTGCGTTTCTTGTCCTTGACTGCCGTAGGTCCCCCCATCAGTTTGCTACCCCAACTCTCAGAGTCCTTGATGGGAGTGCCGTTGCTGGGCCCAGAGATAGCAGGATAGTGACCTGAGTTGTCCTGTAGAAAAGATGATTCCTTAGGTGACCCTCGGGAAGGCTTTTCCGTCATCATGTCTCGGTGGTTGGGACCTCGAACAGGGGCTTGGGCTTGAACGGCATCGTCATAACTGAGACCCTGTAAGCGATCTTGCTCTGCCACATCAGGGCTTTCTCTCCGCTGAGAGCGCGTCGAGTCTTGGCTGGCCTGCTGCTTCTGGAGACGTGTAGTAGAGGGGACGTGAATTTCGATTGGCGAGGTTTCATCTGGTATGTCGACATGTTGCAAAAGCGCCTCAACCCAAGCATCTCGCTCTTCATCGTTTTCCGCACACAACACATGACGAACTAAGCTTGTCGAGTCTTTCCGCTTTGGCTCCAAGATGAGGAAGGCGTGTCGATATTGGTTGTCCTCAGAGTCGTCCTTTCGTTGTGGCGATTGGTTTGACTGCTGTTGTGACTGTTTCCCGATTTGTGCGTTTTGCAACTTGATCGTTCCTAAATGCGCACCACCTTCACCCTCAAAGTACCTGAACTCTGAGCCATCCAGGACAAAGAACCGCGCTTTCCAGCCTCCGAAGTTCTTACCACGCTTGGTAAGGTAACCCACCTTGCGCTGCGTCCTCTGAACAGACACTGTTGGACCTGGGGTAGGCTCGGGGGCCAATCTGTCGCCGGCTTGTGCGCCAATGACATCAGTGGATAGGTAATCGCACACAATCAAGGCCGTTCTTTCGTTCATGGGGGTTTCCAGGACAGTATCGAAGTATTCGTTGAGGGCGACCCTTCGAGCATCAATCTTGGCAGGCGCATGACCCCCGAAAAGACCGCGATCTGGAAGTTGTCCCTGGAAGTCGCACAGGGATCTCAGCTGGGAATCTAGAGAGGGCAGCGTAGCGATTGTCTTCTCCACGCGCCAAAGCTGTTTGTTATCAGAGCGAGCGTAAACAGCGAGAATAAAGACAGGGTCCTCCTCTTGTGGTCTTGGGGCTAGCATGCTCATACGGGACGGCCGAAGGCGGGATGAGAAGACCTTCACTTGAATAGAGGGTAGCGCATTGGGAGGCAGCAAGAGTCCAGGGTACTGATCTGAGACGAGTCCTCGATAGACGTGTTCTGCATCAGGAACATCGTTCAAGGTAGGGCTACTCGATGGCGATTCTGGACTAGGTTGCGCACCTGGTACTGTCAAAAGGCCTGTAGACGCTTCTTTGCGGAGCTGATTGGACTGCTGACTCTGATTGACCGGAGGAGATTGATACGACTGAGGTGTATTCGGAGGGAGAGGAACTTGTTGCTGCACTGTCCGCCCAGCTGGTTGATTGGTAGCAGTTGGCGACATGGGCGGTGATGCTATTGACTGCTTGGGGTTCCTCGGTAGTGGTGACCCAAGTGGCCTGTCGGTAGGCCTAGGACTAGAAGGAAGTCCTGGACTCATGAGTGGTGATGCGACACTTCGGTTCGCCATCATAGAACTATCCGAATTTGCAGGACTAAGAAGAGCGTTTAAAGAGTTGGCTGGTGGGTGACGGGGAGAGAGTGGAAGGCCCGATTGCAGCGCATTGAACTGTCGCGGCGAAAGGGGAACCGGGACCGCCTGAGGTTGATCGCTTGCTGGTGTTTCAGAAGGCGTCGCTTGTTTGCTCTTGCTTTCGCTTTTCTTCTTCTTCGACTTGCTCCTAGCTTCCTCGTCTTGCGAATACAGAGCTTCGCGTACCCGATCATCTTCCTCACGGGTCTTTCTCCTTCCCCGCAACTCTACAACAGGTATCTCATCCACTTCCAATGTATCGTCATAATCTGAATCGACATCGTCGCCATGTACGGCTTGGTGGAGATGTGCGCTGGTGGTTATGGGTTTCGAGAGGTTGAGCGGAGCTGGCGGAGCCTTGCGCAGAGGTTGCGGAGTCTTTCTTGGAGGCGATTCAAAGCCGTCGCCGCCAATGACAGGCGTGGCCTGAATCAGAGATATCTGTGGAGGCTGGAGTTGTGAATCGCCTGGAACCAGCGTCACATCGGAGGTATTCTGAGGAGGCGTAGTTGGCTTCGGTGCCTGTTCTGAGTGTTGAGCAGCATCGCTGGGTTGTAGCAATATGGCGTCGAGGCCGAGACCCTTGCTACCAAGGCTAAGGGGTTGCACAGAGTAGTCGGTGGGTGAATTTACTGCTGATGACAGATTTGATGCGGTGGAATGAGATGGCGACGTCGCTAGTTGTGAGTCTGGTATGAGCTGTGGTGCCGGGTGCTCTTGTGTCAAGGGCGATGTCTTGTGCTCTACGGCTTTCGTGTCGCTGAGTTTAGCGAATTCGCCAGTTGGCTCGCTGAGGGCTGGCGACTGGCTCGTCTCGCGTTCCACGACTGAGTCGAAGGTGTCGGACTTCTGTAGTGAACCAGGACCTGGTGGTACCTGTTCAGCGTACTCCTTGAATTTCCTGCGGTAGCGGTCCTTGTCCTTCAATGCGCGCTCCAGGTCTTTCTGCAACCCGATGATCATGGACCGTTGCTTCTCAACCAGCCGCCAGAGTTGCGCGTTGTGACTTGACGTATTTTGCTTCTCCTTCCACAATGCTAGCATCGCAGCCTCTGGTGAGCCTGCTGTGGCTATCAAAGCGGCCATATCTGGGGGTTCGCGGTGCTCGTATCTTGCGATGGTCGGGGCGCATGGTTGGCAGGAGGGCGGTTCTGGGAGGCAGTCGAGGATAGTGATGATGCTGCTGAGTCTATTGAGGGGTTGCGGACAGGCACCGTCGGTCTCGTCTCAGGTCGGTTCGGCCGCGATGGTGGAGGCATGGTGACAGGTGACGCTGGTGGGGAAATTCCAGCCGAGGACAGCGTGGGCGACGACACCTGCCGGAGTTTTGCATACGCAGACGGCCTCGAAGGCTGCGTGAAGTTTGGGGCAGCGACGTTGGGTGGTGTAGGGGGATGCGCTGGCTTGGTTGGGCGAATGGGCGAGGTGTGATGTTGCTCCTCCGCAAGCAATGCGTCAAGCTTCTCGCGCGGACTACGCGGTTCGTCGAAGCGGGGTGAGTCTTGATAGGACGACTGCTGATATGAGGACCCGTTATTGCCAGTTGGATACAGCGGAGTCGGGACAGGCTTGCGACGTCCTCGGATTTGGTGTTGCTCGTCTGTAGTGGCCGGCACGTTGTGCGAGCGCGTCGAGTCGTCGCGAAGGCTGCGAATACTCTCCGCAAGGGACGGCGAGGATAGAGAGTGGAAAGGTGACGACGGTTGGTGCTGAGGAATACGATGTGCCGTTGGACTTTCCTGAAGCATATGCATGTCTGTATTCGTCGCCGCCATGTTCAAGTCTCAAACGGGCTAGCCGACGACCGGGATATCTGGTCGACAGTATAGCAGATAGTTAGTGGGGATTAGTGTTTCGGTGACGCTCTGAGTGTCTGGTGAAATCAAAGCTGCCACGCTCAGCAGTCTCGTCAGCATCTGGGCGTCCCGCGCAGCTTGAGACAAGTCTCCGTCAGAAGGAGCAGCCGGAACAGAAGAGATTTGGGCTTGTAGACTGGTGGGTTCTCATTCGGCGCCATAACCGCCCTTGTAGGAGCCGGGCCAAATTCAAGCCTGGGACCTGCAGCAGAAGCGAGCCCTGGAGGCCTTTGTCTCCATGATCGCCTCCGCAGGCCCTGATGGCTGTGTCCCCTCACGTTTGAGATATGCCCAAAGCCATTTGCATCCTAGTCGACAACATGCCGGTGTAGGCGCCAAAAGCGTGCTTTGGGCTTCTCATTGGTTTAGACCTGTGGCTTGCTAGCCTTAATAAACTACGAGCTATCATCCACTGACGGTCTTGTGCAGAAACGAGATGTCCGCGTGGTCTGCTGTCGCTGGTGCCCGCAGTCAAGCTGACAGCAGCCTGACAAGGCGAATTTTGCGAAATACCCACCTATTGGCTGAAAAGCAGATGATTTGGCATACGAGTTCTGAGGGTGTATTGATTCGGCGGTCCAGTAATTTGCGATTCATGGTAGACTCGAAGGTGCATTTCCGCCACACATCTGGCCGTCAATTGGGTCCACGGGTCGTAATCATGTCTCTGGCGCACGGATAGCGTTCGAGTTGAAGGGCTGGGTCGCTGCGGCGAGAAGGATTCTCCAGGCCAAATCGAGGCTAGACCCGTCGATCAGCTGTCATTGGCCCAATCTCTCGTGGCTTAATCAGCCGCAAGCCATAAACTTTGAAAGATGAACGATGTCCGTGTGCCATTGTCAGCAAAAGCACTCTGATCATCCGCTTTGCGTTGCGACCGAATATTCGAGTATCTTCACGCTCCTGCTTGAGACGCTTAATGGTATCGTACGATTCCTACCGACCTACGATTACATCTGAAACCCATCCGCCGTCAAGCGAAGTGTGCTGCAGGGAGCCGCTGATAGCTCCACGACTAGCCCTTAACAGTCGACGCATGGTGATCACAAGCTGCACGCCAAAGCCAAGGCTAGATTAACAATATTCCTTCGCAACACTGTATCAGGGGTAACTCGAGTGCAAGAAGCCGAGAAACGTCTTTTGTTTTTCTGTTTCTGAACTAGTACCCGCAGCGTGCCGTGGAGATGAAGTGTGACTGAAGTCTGGAACGAACATCATTACTTGGACAAGTAAAGATGCACGGCATGAGCAGCTCTCTTTCGCGGTCCATCAGCATTACTCCTTCGACGGCATTCACATCAACAACCCATGCAGGGTCAACCTGAGGCAGACGCGACCCCAAAGAGGTGGCGAGCATGATCCGGGACAGCTGTTTCCACGCGCGTTGCGTCAATCTGCAAGCTCTCTCCACGTCCAATTATACTTCGCATATCAAAGTTCCGAAAGGCAAGGCCGAAGTATTGTGATCTTCACCACTGCACTTTCGCAGTTTGCTTTCTTCGGGAAAACAAATCATCCATGTTTAAATTGACACCAATTCCGGGCAGAGACAAACATTGACTTCCCTACCATGCTCACACGTTATTGCAGTAAAAGAATCCTGTCCTCGTTTCCAAAGGTAGTCGCTTCGGCGGTATCAATGCATATACATCCATACGAGAGCTTCCGTCCGGGTTGTGAGCTCCCGTCCGACCGCTTATTACCGCCTAGGCCTACAGTTCCTGCCGTCAAACGTGGAGAAGGATAGATCGGATGGTAGGGGAGTGCCAAGCTGTATGCCAATAACGCCTATCGGAACTCCAAGATTGTGTGCGCCATGAAGCAGATGCTGCTTGGGTATCCTGGCATCGCTAGCCCTCACCCGGCAGGTAAACGTCCATGATAACTCTCAAAACGTTTCGGCTTCCGCCCGCCGCAGTAGGGTATCCATCAGCGTGTAATGCTGCACCCAAAGCCGCCAGCGGCACGAGACGTTCCAGTCGAGCGTAAGCGCAAGTAATCGGTGCTGTTATGGGGAAACCCAAAACACTCGTTATGGGCCTCTAGTTCGATGTTACAAGAAGGATAGGCCTACTGAGCGAGTGCCAAGTCAGTGATTGCCCTGGGTACGGCAAAATGTGTAAATGCGGAAGTAGAGTTTTCAGAGTAGTTCTCAGCAAAACAGTATTCCCAATGTGGAAGTTGGGTTTTGTGAAGCATTCGTTTCTTATTGTTCCATTCCGAGACCAACAGTGCACAGCTGCCATACCAACGCAACGAGACAATATATTGAGCAACCACACAATCTTGTCATAGCTGCACTGAGCTTGGAGTCTACAATCCCTATATCTTCAAGGAGGCCCACGATCTGTACAATTACAGGACAACATGGTTGCCATCTAGATTCTGGCAACCAGATCCGGATGAAGCATCTGCTTTTGGATTCATGGTTCCGGCTTCCATACTTCCGACACGACTAGCCTGATAGTTGCGATCAAACATTCGCTAGTCTAATTCGCAAATTTGTTTCGAGATGAGTAAGGTTGCCAACGTTGTAATCTTCCTCATCGGTGTTGACGGCCTCAAGTAACGTTGCAGCCTACCTAGGTCATCATCAATTTCGATCGAAATGCTAGTCGGCTTCCCGCTTGGGACTATTACTATGCTCCCATATACGCGCGAGAGGATTTCGACGGCGGACAGGATCTGCACAGATACACTGTCTTCGAACGGTACGAGGAAGCTTGTTTTACCAAGTTGCACCTATTACTGAAATGTACCCTGACGGTATACATGCTAAGCTACGTTAAAACTCGAATAGTAAAGCAACAGTAGATATCTCTAGAGGGCAATTTCAATGATAGGTACGACCCATATAAAATAAGCTTCTTCATAGATCGCTCGTTCAACATAGGGGAGACTAGACCAGTCCTATAAGAACATTATTGCCAAATATCATATTTCTGGTGTTGTCGAAAGATATGCTCACCCGTGGGGAAAGATGAAGAGATAGCCACTGATGTCTTTAGTGTTATTGAGTCGTTAATGTGCCATGTATTCCTTCTAAATGCGCATCGTACAGGCCTTCCCATGCCCGCATACTGTACAATATCATACACTCGTATGCATGCTGTCTTCCACCTTACAATCCTACTCTTCCAGTACCACCCCGTTCCATCTTGTTCAACCGTCGCGCAGTCGCAATCTACATCCGTTAGCACACATGCCCAACATAATCGCAGCCTCGCTCCCAGGATAAAACATGCCTGTGTCCTTGTTCTCTGACCCCTCACAGGCAAACCCATAGCATGTCTCCTTCCGCGATATGTGCCCATATCCCTCAATCTCCGAATGTCGTCCTGCACTTGCCGCCGTAAATCGTTCTCAATCTTCATATTCGCCAGCTCAGCCGTCAGGTCCATGACTGTCGCGTTTTTCAAGCTGCCAACTTTCGCCCATGGGTGGATGTAGAATTTCGCCATGATGCGCTGCGAGACTGAGGGTCCGATGCCGAAGAAAGATTCGAGGGATCGCTTTACAAGCGTCGCTTCCGTGAAGCTGAAGCCGTTGATGAACACCTGAAACCATCAGTAAGATACTCTCAAGGAGAACTGGACGATTCAGTAGCGTACCATGGCGGATCAGCGTTCCGACGACGAATTCGCGTGTTGAAGTGTCAATTATCTTGTCTGATCTCGAACTCCAGACTTCCGTTTCCCACTAGTCCCGATAAGTCCTAGTTCGATGGTGCGGGCAATCGCTCTGTACCCAGGTAAAACGCAACGTTTCAACATTCACTCCACCATTGCACTTAAGGCAGGGGCTTTCCAAACTATTTAACCCTGTGACTTCCCTCGATTGCTTCCCGACACAATCAGGCATCATGGCTACTATCCAGAGAGCTGTCATCTCGCTCCTCTTGATCCTTTCGATCACCTTTGTCTTCTTTGCTCAGAGCACAGAGGCTGCCAAGGGACCGAAGATCACCCACAAGGTGTGTATAGCTTGCAATTGAGGATATATGGATGGCCTTGCTAACTGGACATAGGTGTACTTCGACATCACCCACGGCGATGAAGAGCTAGGCCGCATCACCATCGGTCTTTACGGCAAGACCGTCCCCAAGACCGCCGAGAACTTCCGGTACGACTGCGTATAATCCCACGTGTAGCTTCTGGGTCTAACAAATACGACAGCGCTCTGGCCACTGGCGAGAAGGGTTTCGGGTACGAGGGCTCTACTTTCCACCGCGTTATCAACAACTTCATGATCCAGGGTGGTGGTAAGTACAACTGATAACACACTCTGAAGAGATTCGCAGTACTGACAAAAGACTAGATTTCACAAAGGGTAGGTCCACGACAGCATGAGCCACACGCGATCCACACACTGACGATGTAATACTTGAATAGGTGACGGAACTGGCGGAAAGAGCATTTATGGCGCCAAGTTCCCTGATGAGAACTTCAAGCTCAAGCACACCCGCAAGGGTCTCCTCAGCATGGCCAATAGTGGAAAGGGCGAGTAACTCCCATGTACGAACTGCCTATGAGACAAATACTGACTTGGTATACCGATCTTTAGACACCAACGGGAGTCAGTTCTTCATCACCACCGTCGTCACCAGCTGGCTCGATGGCCGCCACGTCGTTTTCGGAGAGGTCCTCGAGGGCTACGAGGTCGTGGAGAAGATTGAGAATGTAAAGAAGGGACCTGGAGATAAGCCGGTTGAGACTGTCAAGATCGCCAAGAGTGGCGAGTTCGAGGTGCCAGAGGAAGGTATTCACGCGGAACTCTAGACATCAGTATGCATTCTTTGCTATTGAGTCGATCCCTCAGGTTGGAGAGCTGCTGATAGTTGTACCATTTCTTCAAGATTTATACGGACTTGCTGAACCCGCCATTCCTGGCGACGAACTCGATATCACGGCAACTCCGTCCAAGGATGACGTCGTCAACATTGCTGAAGTATCCCAGGCCTCTGCCACCAAGCCCAAGCTTCCTGGTATGGCTGCTGTTACTGGTTCCGCTGATGGTCTGTCCATGGGCCAAAAGCTTTTCTTTATCGGGGCTGTCGTCGCGGTCTGCGTGCTGTTCTTGAAGTCGCGAAACGGTGGGCAAGGTAACATTATGGGTGGGCTTAAGGAGAAAAGCATGGCCTAGATTACGATGAAATGCAGGAACATTCATTTAATAGACTGTGGTTACGATATGTGATGAACATGAACCATCAAGCACGCCATTCAGGAACAACGTTACACACTTCTAAGAACCTCAAGTCCCTCTTTGCCTACCACAACAACACGCAGTAGGAAAATGAGGTATATAGACAATTGGTTAGAAAGCCTACATGGTTCTTAGATTTTCAGTGTTCCTGTATATTGGGCTATTGTAGGCTGTAGAGCTCTCAGGTTTTATCGCTCTGCACCGGCTCAATTCCTTTCTTGTATAGGATGCAAGCATGTCAAGACGCTAGCTAGGGTGAAGAGGACGGCACGTGAGCCGATACGGACTCCTTGTAGTCCCTGCATTACCCACAGACAATGATGTAAAGCGTTCCAGACACCTCGTTGCTAGCAAAAACAAAACGGTGTTCTGTTGAGTCATCTGGAGGCATGGCACAGGCGCACGAACTGGCCTGGAACCTGCGGAAGAGCCAGGCAAAGTCGCCACTACGTTCACCGAGGACATGTCACAGTGCATGTCGCATGAAAAGCAAGCCTGTTGCAGCACACGACAGGATCCATATGTGACGTTCACCGCTCCCCACTCGCCACAGGCTGAGAACTCTGAGAGGGAGCGCTAGCGCCACTCAGGGTCTAGTGCGGAAAGGGTTCTCCGACACGCTTTTAACTTACCTGCTGCGTTCTCCCTCTTCCCTAACCACCCACTCTCCAAAACTATCTTGTGTGTATTACACAACCTTACAAGCACATTTCCTGTGAAGTCCTTTCTTTTGGTCTTCACTTCTTTACTTCTCGTTTTCCAGGACAGAGGCGTTCCCTTCTTTCCTGACAGAACGAGTCTCAGGCACCCGCCTGCGAGTTACGAGTTTCGTCACTTAGACTTGCCACTTTTCGTCTGTCGCTCACCGCCGAGCCAGCCGAAGTCAGTATATCTGTAATTTGCGACTTGCACATTACATCTGTCGTACACGCAAACACACCCTCAGCCTACTCGACTCAACCTCGCCCATCATGGCTGACCAACTCGACATGGGTCGTCTCAACATAAACGACTCCCAACACAACAACCAGAACGGCTTCAACGGCGAGCGTTCTGCCTACATCCCCCCTCACCTTCGCGGTCGTCCCCAGGGTGGTCCCGGAGGCCCGGCCCCAATGGACGGCCCGCCTCCTCAGATGAACGGCGGTGGTCTCGGTGGCAGCGCCTGGGGACCAGGAGGGTCAGTCAATACCCAAGACACAAAACAGGAAGGTATGCTAACGGGTGACAGTCAGGGTCCTCCCCCTCAGATGAACGGCGGCGGTGGTGCCGGTGGCTGGGCCAACGCACCCAACTTCACTCCCCGCGGCCGCGACGGTCCTCAAGGTGGTGGTGGATGGGGCGGTGCCCCTCGCGGTAACTTCGATCCCAGCGCCTACGGCAAGCCCGGCGGCGGTGGCTCTGGAGGTGCTCGCGGATCTGGTGATGGTGCCTGGAAGGACGGCAAGCACGTTCCCGGCCCGCCCAACCAGCGTCTGGAGCGCGACCTCTTTGGCGTGCCCAACGACCCCTCCAAGCAACACACCGGTATCAACTTCGAGAAGTACGACGATATCCCCGTCGAGGCCTCTGGTCAGGGTGTTCCCGAGCCCGTTACACGTTTCACAAACCCACCTCTCGATGACCACCTGCTGAGCAACATCGAGCTCTCTGGATACAAGGTTCCCACACCCGTACAGAAGTACTCTATTCCCATCGTCATGGGTGGTCGTGATCTCATGGCTTGTGCCCAGACTGGTTCCGGAAAGACTGGTGGTTTCCTCTTCCCCATTCTCGCCCAGGCCTTCCAGAACGGCCCCTCTCCTCCCCCCGCACAGGCTCAGGGTGGCTATGGACGTCAACGCAAGGCCTACCCCACCTCGCTCGTCCTTGCTCCTACCCGTGAGTTGGTCTCCCAAATCTTCGACGAAGCCCGCAAGTTCGCCTACCGCTCTTGGGTCCGCCCTTGTGTCGTCTACGGTGGTGCCGACATTGGCTCCCAGCTTCGCCAGATCGAGCGCGGCTGCGATCTTCTTGTTGCTACCCCCGGCCGTCTTGTCGACTTGATCGAGCGTGGCCGTATCTCCCTCGCTAGCATCAAGTACCTTGTTCTTGACGAGGCTGACCGCATGTTGGACATGGGTTTCGAGCCTCAGATTCGCCGCATCGTTGAGGGTGAGGACATGCCTCCTACCGCTGGCCGCCAGACACTCATGTTCTCGGCCACCTTCCCCCGCGACATTCAGATGCTTGCCCGCGATTTCTTGAAGGACTACATTTTCCTTTCGGTTGGTCGTGTCGGTTCCACTTCTGAGAACATTACCCAGAAGATTGAGTACGTCGAGGACGTTGACAAGCGCTCTGTTCTCCTGGATATCCTCCACACCCACGGTGCTGGTCTTACCTTGATCTTCGTCGAGACCAAGCGTATGGCTGACTCGCTGTCCGACTTCCTCATCAACCAGGGCTTCCCCGCCACCTCCATTCACGGTGACCGCACTCAGCGCGAGCGTGAGAAGGCCCTGGAGATGTTCCGAACTGGACGTTGCCCTATCCTCGTCGCTACTGCTGTAGCTGCCCGAGGTAAGTTTCCCAATACTTTCATCCTTTCAAAAACACATGTATTCTTCAAACCTTGAAATAACCTACTAACTCCTAAAAAGGCTTGGATATCCCGAACGTTACTCATGTGGTCAACTACGACCTGCCTACCGACATTGACGACTACGTTCATCGAATCGGTCGTACTGGACGAGCTGGAAACACTGGTATTGCCACTGCTTTCTTCAACCGCGGCAACCGCGGAGTCGTACGCGACCTCCTTGACCTGTTGAAGGAGGCCAACCAGGAAGTCCCTGGATTCCTCGAGTCCATTGCTCGTGAGGGCTCCGGCTTCGGTGGAGGCCGTGGTGGACGCGGAGGCGGCCGTGGACGTGGTAACGCTGCTACCCGTGACGTTCGTCGCATGGGCGGTGGTGGTGGTGGCTTCGGTGGTGGTGGCCAGTGGGGTGGTGCTCCCCAAGGCGGCTACGGAGGTGGCTACGGCGGCGCTCCCGGCGGTGGCTACGCTCCTCCTGCTCCTGGCGGCTACAGTGGCGGCGGCGGCGGTGGCGGCGGCTTCGGTGGAGGCTACGGCAACCCATCTGGCCCTGGTGGCAACTCTTGGTGGTAAACGTGCATCACACCGCTTCACGATGTAGCCAGCCCGGGACATATTTTCTTCTCTACGATACCCTGGGCCTTCGTGCAGCTGCTACCGATGGCTTGCTTTCGATTTCCTTTATTCTCGGATGTTTTCTGCGAATCTTTCCCGGTTACCGCGGATCGATGCGGAAATCTGGAATCTCATACCCCAACCAGCATATAGACAGCGACTGTTTTTGCGGATCTGCCTGTTTTCGAGCTCTTCTCGCATACGATACCCTTCGACGCACACTTGTCGAGCTCGAACATGGAGGCAGGACCCTCGTCTTTCCCGGAAAGACATGCATTACGAACATTTCACGACTTCGCTCTTTTGCAAGCCTGCTGCTTGGGGAGCTATAGATTCTCGCTTTCCGAGTCGTCCACACGCGGATGACCTCTGAGCATTTTCTTATTTTACGACAAAAGCGATTCCTTTTTCCCGGTCATACCCTTCGGCGACAACGTCTTTCTTGTCGTCCTTGCGTCGCTCAGTCTCTCCACACGCGGAGAGTAGCAGCATGACCCTGTTTCGGACGACAGAAAAGTTTCCTGCATAGATGGCGTTCATGAAGGTCCATCCACGACCCAACCTTTTTACGAAGGAAGATACCCCCGGTTCTTTGTGGTAACCATCATGGTGGCTGTCTTTCCAAGGCCAGCTCGGCAGTGGGATTTAGAAGCTCATTTGGTTTGCATGCACATGTGCGCGGACCTGACCCAATGACTTGGGTGGAAGGAATTTCATAAAAGTATAGTTTCGAGCAGATGATTAGTTATATAGACTAGTATGGGCTGCCAACATGCGCAACCTGTACAATGCATGCGATTTCATACTTGCAAATCTTTTCCACCAAACGCAGTGATGTTAAAGACCACAGCTCTAGGCTAAGTGGTATCGCACGGTCCAGGTGATGTGGTCTGGTTATCTGTAGCTGTTATTCCAGCTCATGTTCTTCATCCACAATATTGCGAATGCACTTAGGCTACGTTCTGGCAACGTGGGACCCAGAGACGATTGTGGCTTCACTAGGTGGTGGCTCTTTCCCAGTCGTCAGCATCCTTACCTGCCATCTAGCTTTGTCGTTCTTACGTTGCGACGCAGGCGCAATCAAGATCATTCCCTCGCGTATCTGCTTCTCTTCTCTTGTCAACATCATCATCTGGGTCACCCCACTCACCGCCCACTCTATTCTTCGCTCAGGTATCCATCCGTTATCTGCATACTCATGATCGTATCCATACCTCTCTACCAGATCGAATAGCGCAGTTCATACGAGCTCCTCATCAGAAGGTCGCCTCGTAATACACAATGTCAGACCGTCTCGCAGGCCACCCCTCACTCCAAAAGACTCGCGGCACTCTTACAACATGGGGTAAATACTGCCGTTCACACTTCATAGATTGGACTGCGGAAGCAAGAGAGGAATTCGAAGCAGACATAAATCGTACTAAGCCGTGGAATACAAGTCTATAGGATTGTCTCAATCCATTGCCACTGTGTAAGTCCTTCTCATAGGTCGATGTCAGGGCGGGACTGGTGAGAAGGTAAACTGACGTGTATTGTAGGCATCGTCACTTTCTTTTGTCCCTGTGTCACTTGCGGAAAGACATGGCATCGTCTTCACTACAATGGCGATATGAGTGGTTATGAGATTGTCAACGTACCGGTACGTATCTTCTCCTCTAATACACCTATATCCTACATTCGATCCTAGCTCAACCCGCCTCATCATTCTCTTCTCCATGACTAACAAGACGCAACCACAGTGCCT